CACACACACACACACACACACAAAAGAAATGATATTTAAAATAGAATAAGCGATAAACACGTAACAAAATTGTAAATATATAAATCGATGAAAGAGTAAACTATGTATAAAAGATTCAACAGGGGTTGTGGTTGGCACTATGAACAGTTACAATAAAAAGAATCGTGGCAAACTGAGCACAGTAGATCCTGCAGGTGCTCAGTGGAAGAAAGGCGCGCGAGAAAAAAATTTCTTAATTTTGACTTAATAGGTTAGAACATATTTGAACGTAGGCGGAGAAGAAAAAGTAGACAAATCTTTTAAGTCGGATTTAAGATCATTGAAAAGTTTGTCTCTATGGACCTACTTAAACGGCCAACCTGTCACGAGTCCCCATCGCTTAGTGGTGGAGCATCCGAAGTACCGATTACTAGGACAGAGGTTGGACTCCTATTGGGAGCATGCGGAGTATGGCTGCATCACCTATTGATTAACATCACCATTCACTTAGACTAAGAGTTCTTCACAATTCAAATTAGAGGAAAACGAGATTAAAAATGAGTGACTGGCAACTTCATGCATGTAAATGCTTTTGCCTTCGCTGATAAAAGTTTACAAATCGATCACAATTTTTCTTGGTCTGTAACTCTATTGTTGATAGAAATTACTTCAACCATGTCCAAAACTAAAGTGAAACCTCGTGGCGCATGCAGCCGAGTGGTTTCATTGAAAAGTGAGAATTTCCACAGTTAATTTTAAAATGCAAAAAAGTTGACTACTAAGTCATGCTTTCTCTTTCTACAAAACAAGGGATTTATCTCATTGGAATTTTCCCTATGATCGCAATTACAAGAAAAGGCAAAACTATAGCTGTTTTGTAACTCATAACAATTTCACTGACATGATCAACCGCTGGCTTGGATGCTTAGCAAGTATTGAGCCTCGACATCATGTTTTCGAAGTGTGTGTGTGTGTGACATGAGATAATGTGGCCGAGGCTCATCGTGGAAAATGAAATTACTTTCTAGGAGGCGAGGGCTTGCGGGATATAAGTTCGGTGGGTAAGATGTTTTGTAGTTTTTTCCTTCACTCACCGTTACACCTTCACTATTCAATAGAATATGAATCTGCCTATTTCACCGATTGTTGAAATCGGCCTGATTCTCTCAAGTTTGAGCTCACCAAGATAACTCCATGTATTCCCGGTTTCTATGACTTACTTGTTGTGAAATTTGTAAAATTTATCTGATGGAAAGGAGTAGGGTAGATCTGTCACCTTTGTGCAGAAATCTCGCAAGGCCAGAAGCATTTAGTCATACCTTGAGTCCGAGTCTCCCAATAAATTTTTCATTAGACTTGTCTGAATATCTAATCAGTCCAGTATCGCGAACTTTCTTACCTTTGTGACGATTATCCAAATATTATCGATATTACTTGCAATTATTCAAATGGCTATTTAATTGATAAAGTTTGACGCACTCATACCAAACAACCGTTCATAATCAGTAAGAGGTGTGCGTTTGTAACGCGTATTCAACTGGATTAATTTTACCTATGCAAATATCACTGTACAATTTTTGAAATCATTCGCAGTTTAGTCCAATATTAAGTCCTGGAGATCCCGAGCTATAATGGTAGATAGGAAAGATTGCTTTTCTTACCATCTAAAAGATTTTCTTAAAGAGAGAGGCCTTTTTATTTAACCGTAATTTATAAAGTATCCTCGAAATTCGTGGAGCAGGTGCTCTGAGGGAATTGAGATGCAAAACATTCATTTAGGCGATTAAACATGCCAGAATAATACAATTACAATTTAATAAATAAAGAATGGCAGTACTTAACATTTCTCTCTGCTTTTACCACCGTGGGAACATAAGATCTTAAAGAAGCATAAGATCGTTAAGAAAAGGTACGATTTTAAAACTCCACACTTTGGAAATCAAAACAGTAAACTACAGCAATCCGATAGGAATACTCGAAGCTCGCATCTGACACACGATGGGGGATAAAGACTGCAATACGAAAATTGTCAGCGAAACATTCGAGGAATCAAGAGAGCATGAGGACACAGTTAACGGAAAGCATGATAAAACGGATAAATTACTTTATTTTACAATGTACATTATTTTAATTGCAGCAATTAATGAATTAAAACTTTGAATATTTTTCATTACTATCCAGAGTGTGACTCAATGCAAATGTAAATCGGCATGTCACGCGGTAAGATAAAACTCAGCATCGATTTAGTGGAGGCAGCTGTAGCGCACCGTCAGTTCTTACAGCTCGTTGATGACCATCCAAGTTTATACTCTAGTCCACTCGTTCAAAACGCAATCAGAAGGTTAGTTTAGTTCAACTGTACTGTTAATCACTCACTTGAAATGTTTAAGAGTATGGCCTTTGGAATCGAAACAAAAAGCCCACAGTTTCCCTTTTCACCCTTAGGTTTTGAATTACCGAGCAACAGCAGCATACAGAGAAACCGTACCGTAAACAACTGCCATAAAGTCTCGGAAACTATTCCCTTTACGACACACTGAAAGTTTATTGGCTACGAGGCATGTTTAAGCGAAAGAACAGTAACATGTTCTTAAGTAATCAAAGAAAACTCACACGTCTCACACAAAGTAATGACTGATTCAAATACGTTTGTCTGCACGTCACGAAAACAATCTTATCGAAAAAGCAAGGGAACAATATTATTCAAATGCTGACCTTTTCGTTTATTTTTCACGTCCCGAATATAATTCATGGACTAGTATCATTTCTTTCCCGAAAGCTCAAATCATAAAAAATTCGGTGAATTTCAAGTTCGACGTGTCAGTAAGTCTGTTACAATGATGTAGGAGATGTAGAGTGCAATATCATCATCAGACATGGGGACTGATTTAGTGAGGTCCCCACTCTCACTAAGTTTTCATTTTCGAGTACCAAGCACTGAACTAAGTGAGGAGACTGAAAAGAAGGAGTAGAAAGTTAAAGTGTGGGCTCACTAAACAGCGAGAGAAAGAACAGAATGAGAAAATCAACGATTTCAATCAATCTTGTCCGGAAATGTATCGTGCACCCATGGTATCCTCCCAACCATGGAGTCTTTACAGTCGGATTGCAAGGAAGCCTTTACTTGACTCTAAACTGATATCAACTATTTTTAACCTTGTTTTTCTTTTAGGTATGAGCTTTTCTGGCTGCCTTTGCTCGCTCAATCCACCACCTCAGAAATTGCGGCACCACTCGACATCGCATGGGTTTGGCACGTGCACATGCTGTCACCTGTCAATTATGAAAGGGACTGCAACGAAATTGTCTCTATACTACTAGATCACAAGATACTAAGCGGAGAGCAGCGTCACAAAGGGCTTGTTAAGGCCAAAGCTCTATGGGAAAAGTTGTATCCTGGCGAACCTTTTGAAGTTGACCTGACGGCCGCTGCTAACAATGCGCAAGATTTCAAGTCAAGAATTGAGTACGACATCGCAGCTGCTTGCGCTCGACAGAGAGTCTTTTATTATCAGGTGTCCTTACCTCACTATGAAGATAAGAAATTTTTGACTGAAGCAATGGAGAGGTATAAATTTCATCTCATGCTCAAGCGAGATAATCCAGGCACGTTTCTTGTGCCTTGCTATGACTTTGACCTCATTTGGCATGCGCATCAAGTAAATCCACTACTGTATAAAAAGGACACCACGGAAATACTGGGAAAAGTACTTAAACATGATGACTCGGTGAACGACCGACAGCCTGGCTCAAAGCTCAACATGTCTGAAGAAACAACACGTGAAAAATGGAAAAACCTGGGCCAAGAATTTGCAATGAATGGAGCCATGTTCCGCGGAGAGCCTCCACTTGGAACTAACACATTAACAGGGCCCATTGACTACACTTGGCTGGCAGCGCTCGAGTACACTGTAGATTTGACCAAATTCGAAGTTGAAGGTCTCCCTAAACCAAAAGCCTACACCGTTAAAATCGAAGTCGTGAATGGTGAGCGGGTCCTAAAGAAACAGGTTCGCGGGCCAAACGCGACACTTCTGGAATCCAACCGTGCTTTATCAACGTTTACATTTAAAACGAAAAATAGCAGTAATCTCAAGGTAAGAGTCTTAATGCAATAATTATTTCTCTTCTACGAGTCAGAGTTATATATCGGTTGTCTCCTTTTCATTTGATCTGTATTCTTAAGATACGCTCCTTAGAATTCCTCTTCTCTCACCCATTGACTACCTCTTTAACGGCAAAAATGTAGTCTGTTCACTCGAAAAAGCAACAAGTCGCAATGGTAAAGTGACTGAGACATTAAGGCCAAGCCCAGTGAGATTAGATTTTTTTTTATTCAAACAGAGCTTTTTTTCGTTAATTCAGTTTCGGGACGGTTAAGTAACAGTGGTAGGTTAAAACGGTGACTATGATCGGAAAGACCATTGGTTGGCAGGATCGCAAATTGTACACCACTGGGATTTTTTTGTATTGGAATCCAATCATGAAGTGTTATGTCATACGTTCCATACAAGACCACCTTTAACTTTGTATTTTATTCCATCAGGTTCGTATTTACCAACCAGGAACATGCTCTTGCTTCACTCATTCACTGGACGAGTCTGTCCAGTGCCTGTTTGTAAACCATCTGATCGGCAAGGTTCCTTACCAAAGTACCGCCAAGTCTGAGCCAGAAACGCGGGAGTTAACTGTAGCTGACAACCTGAATGTTCGATTTACTACTGTGGCTCATCCCCCTAGACTAGATGGATACTATTTTACGGTGAGACCAGAGAGAAATTTCAGTCCAGTCCAACATCCTGGTCAGATACTAAGCTCGCCAACGCTCTTTCTTTCGCCAGCTTCTTTGGCTTCCTCATCAGTCCCTTGCGAAATGTCGCTGCATTGGGTACTGGACAGTGGGCGTCGACAGGCGTTTACCTGCCGAGTGGTGCACTCAGCTTTGCTGATGTTCTCTTCCGTGGAGGTTATCAACCAGTCTGGTTGTGTTGTTAGTACGGGACACTTACTAGGAGGGAACATACTTCCCACCAAGGAACAAGTGAGCAAGCCACAAAAATGCTGTACTTTGGATGAGAATGGTGGAGAGAGAGCAATGCTTATAAGAGGAAGTAAAGACTGGGGAGTCTGCATTGGAAAATGGGAAGGGTTTGTTAAGGGTGTCCCTGGCGTGCCTGGAATAAAAGGGCAGCCAAATAATCCAGGTGTCAAAGGAACGCCTGGCGTGAGAGGCAAACCTGGACATTTAGCCATCAAATTCTTTTCACTGTCCGGAACAAAAGAGTGGAAAGAGGTTGAAAAACGGGGAGACCAGTTCTGGGTGGCTCTTCGCAAAAAGTTAAAGCTCAGGATCGACCTGCGCACCGGCTTGATTTCGTTTCCTTCTGAAGTCCATCACGTGCCGGAGGTAGTTGCGCTCGGATTTTCAATTGCCATTCTTCATCTTCTATGCCAGCCTTACACTCCCGCCGGAAGTGCAGATTACTCGAAACCATCAGTTTGTGCTTCACATCAGGCCGACAAACCAGGAAGAATTCACAATGAAGAACTTGCGTTAATAGTGGCAGCCGGTTACTATGCCAACACCGTACCGACTAACTCGTACCTAAAGTATGAAACTGGAGGAGGTGCCTGTGGAGGTTGCGGTGGATGCGGTGGTTGTGGTGGTTGTGGTGGCTGTGGTGGTTGTGGTGGTTGCGGTAGCTGTGGAGGATGTGGAGGTTGCGGTGGCTGTGGCGGTGGCTGCGGAGGATAACTAACTGAGATGATGCCAGAAACATCCATTGTCACTGACAATTGATGATCTTAGACTATTAACTCATATTTCGGTAAATTGTGAGATACAAAGGAACCTCGCAGAAAACACGCAAGGTACCTGTAAGATGACTTGTAACTTAAATGCAGTAGTAAGAAACGGCAGAAGTGTGCGTAATCCAAGGCTTCGTTTGAAATGAACAGTTACTAAGTTCTTTGTTGTGTCATAGAATACGAAATCCGATTACCTCCGGAACGTTAGTCTCGGTTTTGTTTTTCGAGTAAGTACGCTCTTCGGTCATATTATAACACGTTTTATATCACACTGTAACATAACAATATCTATAATATTTGTCGTAATGACATGAATCAAAATTCTTTGTATTCACCCTAATCAATCGCAATCTAGAATTTAGTCCATTAAGAGGTAAAATGAACAATATCCACAGATTGCAACTTAATAACGGCTTCTGTAAATCAAAATTAAGCTGTTTAATTGTAACGATGGCGGTTCACGCTGATGAAGAGCTAAAGCTCGAAACGTCAGCTGAAGAATCTCTTTACGGGGGCCGATTCACATTATCAACTCAATTGGATAAAACATAACTTTCTTACTGTAGC